TATTTTGACAAAAAGGCCAGCATCTTGTCAGCCATGAAGGCTGCCGCCCCGACTCCGATTCATAGGCAAATCTCCAACCCACGAGAGATCTGTTGCTTCTCTCAGGGTCTGATGAGACACGGCCCTTCTTCGCCCCCACCTCTAGTGGGGGTTCTGATTCAAAAGATTCTTCGGAGAGGGTTTGTCAGACAGGGTTCATGTGAGACTTTTAGGAGTCCACATCTCCCACATCTGTCCAGGTGGAGAACTTCCTGTCCAAGCCCACATGAGGATTTATTCTATTGCAATTAAAATATGGGACTAAAGTTCAGGAACATCTAGTTCCAAACTTCATTCAGTACAAAATTCACTGGGCCAGTAATTCACTGGTTGATGTAAGCATTTAGGAGAGGAATAAAATCATGCATATGGTAGGTAAAAAGGAAATTACTCTTCCAGAGTGCCATGGTTCTAATCTCAGTCCATAATCTCTGTGACTCCTATTAGGAGGAGAAGGAAGAGGAGGCCACTAATGACCTGGAAATGAGATTAATTTAATGTTACCCAACCGGATGGCCTTTAGATGTGTTGGGACTTCAGTTCCTAGAATTTCCAGAAAAATTGTTATTCCAGAGAATTTCACCGAAAATTAAGAAACCCATCTAACAAGCCCCATAACGGTAAAAGATGGATAGGCTGTTTCTGTACTGAAACATTCTTGACTCATGGTAACTTCCAGACTTTTGACAAATTTAAAAAAAAACTGAGAAAGATTTCGATACAGCAGCCACTAGTCTTAAATATAATCCTATGGAAAGAAATCAATTATACAGAAGTGCATCAAAGAGTGAGATGCCATGATCATGAAGTTACCCACTTGTTCAAAATTCTATGTAAATAGAATATAGATCAAGATTAGAGGATTAGAAAATTAGGTTTTGATTATTTCCTACGATAAACAGTCCTTCCATTTCATGGTAGAACTAGAGATTAAGTATTTACTGAAGAAAATTTACTCCAACTATAAAATCAATTTCAGAGTTGAGATTCCATGGAGCTGCTCCCAATGGGTTAGAATGAGATGAGTTTATAGAATTAGACCTGATCCTCACAGCTGCCAACCACAAATTATAAGATCACCTGTGTATAATACGCTGACTGCGCAAATAGTCCAAAGCTGATGCCATTTCACAGATATATAGTTTAACTGTTTCTTCTGTAAACTGCACATTCTGTTGAAGATGATAACGTAAGTCACCACCCAAGAGTAGATCCACCACCATGAACATGTCTTCTTCATCTTGGAAGGAGTACCTATAGAAAAGTGAGGGAACAGGGAATTCCATTACATTTGCACAGACAACATTACTATGCCTTATGATGGTAATCCATGCCATATAATGATCTAGAAATGAGACATCCTTAATATGTCATATTACCTAACCTGGCCACCTCTGGATACATTGGGACTTCAGTTCTTAGAATTTCTAGAAGAATTGGCTAGAATGTGCTTGAATAATAACAATGCTTCTACATATCTAAATAGATATCCTTCAACTACTTTCATTTGTCCCAGTTCTTTTGAACCACTGATATTTATATATTTGGGGTGTCATTTTGTTTTAATGCTTATTACTGTTAGCTGTCCCCTCTTCTGTATCTAGTAGGGAGCAGCTGTCATAGTTAATTTTAACTTGTTCATGTAATCCTGTTTCTATATCTGGCTGGATCACATGGCTTCTATAATATGATCATTACACAGTAATTTTTCCAGGCATAATCAATAATGTACTGGAATACCAAGCAGCCTGTCTCATTTCATTATCAAAGGATAACCAGTGCCATCAGGGTGAATGACTCATTGGCAAGATTTTGTTAGTCTGAGCTGCCTGGAATCTTTTTAATACAGAATTTCTGGGATGTCATTAGCTGGACATTTTTGCTCTATTTGCCAAAGCTGAATAAAAAAATATGTGAAAGGGGTGATCAAATAGGTCAGAGAATTATTTTCTTCTAAGAATATCTGGATGATAGAATTGGCTTAGAAATATGAGTTAGAAACATCCACTTATCTTTATCACCCTCAATAAATGGAGTGTATATTTTACCTGGATCTTTAGAAAAAGCACATAACATGGTTATTCTTTTACATTTCTACATTCCCCAACAAAGTTTCTAGGACGCCTCCCGCAGCATGTTCTCTTTCAGCTACGACAACTACATGGCCCATGCTTTCCCTCAGGACGAGCTGAACCCCATCCATTGCTGGGGCCGGGGGCCGACCGAGCCCACCCTTCAAATCTGAATGATGTCCTGGGAAACTACTCGCTTACTCTGATTGATGCGTTGGATACCCCAGCAGCAATGGGAAATTCCTCAGAATTTCGGAAAGCAGAGAAGCTTGCGATAGACACAGTCTTTAGATGAGAGTGTAAGATCTCAGGGATGAAAATACTGAAAACTTACCAAAAATGCTTATAAGATTTGGTGCCTTTTTATTTATTATTTTATTATTATTATTTTGTTAAATGCCATTGCATAAGATGACTCAGTAGTACCTATCTCTTGAAAAGAAAAAGAAAGCCCTGAATTGTCCATTCAGAAGGCTACAGGAAGAATGGGGATTTACATTTCAAAGTGCTGTAGATAAAAACAAGACAACCCAAAGGATAAAAAGGCCGGAGCAATTCCCCTGTGAGACACGTGGCTATTCAGTGCTTTTTCAGCTTAAGAGTAAAGAGGGGACAGAAAAAGACACACATCATTAGTATAGAATAGATAGATATCCACGAGTGGCTACATAGAAATTATTCCTTCACATAATAGCAAAACCTTTTTTTTGGGGGGGGGGCGTAAAGTCTTCACATATCGCAGTTAACTTCCAGAATTTATTATCACATAAAAAAGTCCCCAATCTGAACAGTTTTGAAAGGAAGTCAGACGACTGAGTAAGAGATAAAGCTATCAGTGCTTAGTACGTAGCATAGGTGTGTCTTGTTTCCAAGACTGGATCTGTGCACATTTCAACAGCAGATTGTTGTAGCCAATGAAACAGAAGAAGCTACTGGATCCATGTTATGTTTGTGATTCCTGGTTGGACATTTGGAAAGAATGTTAAATTAGACCTCCAACTTTGATCCAGCATACTTTTTCCTCCTACAGTCTTAAAACCCCAGGAATGTGCCTTCTATATTTATTATTATTACCTTCTCCTATGCAACCGAAACTGGAGAAGGTCCCCATCCTGTCTCCTTGCTGTGACACAGTAAGTAGTTAGGGTAACATGGTTAACCAGGTTACCTTAATATTCAAGTTAACCCCAAATGTGAAAGCTGACTAGCTGACTGTTGGTCAATCACCCCACCTATTTGTTATGGGCGGTGGGGATGGAGAAAAGAGGGCCATCCTTTCAGTCTTGCAACAGGGCAGATCTCACTGAAATTTTAACTGACTTTCTTATACACCAGAATGCAGGCGTTTTCCAGTAGAGATGTGACTTTTTATACCAATGGACCAAGAGGTCTATTCTCCAAATTACAACCTTATGGACATCAGTTTAGGATTTTTTTTTCTGTAGCCCTGTTGCTCACATGAGCCAGTTGTTGGTTTGAAAACTATTAAGGGTGACAGTAGAAAGAGAACTGCTAGATACTGGAGCAAAATAATTCAATGTAATTCCTTTTTGGGAGAATAGTAATAACTTTAAATGAAAAAGTAAATATGCCAAATCAAGAGGAATTCTCCTAAAATTATGGTAGCCAACTTTCCTATGAAATCCTTCCCTAAATGAATAAAAGACAGATTATCTCAAAATCCCATTCTTCAATTGTATCAAATCAAAAAATCCCAATTAATGTGAGCCCCACAATTAATCAAGGTAGTTATAGGTTTGTCCTTTCCACTATTCAATATTTACTCTATTACATTTCATTACATTCTTCATTTGTTCCATTTGTCCTTTTGACATTACACTGTTCCAATTGGCTTCTTTTCCCTCAACGGCTCTCTCCAAACTTCTGCCTTCTTAAATTTCAGCTCTAATAATTCCTGACTCAACATGGGCAGCCAGGCAACCAGCCAGTCAAATTAATCTGATAATTATATAATTCTATATTTGTAGCCACATGTTAAGAAACTGTGCTTCATCATAAAGCCAGCTATGGTATAACTGGAGTCTCCATTTCTATAGATATTCTGAATACCGGATTTCTATAAGGCTAAGTTTTCTTTGCCATAGATTGTGGACTTTCCCATTTTCTTTTATGTATAATTGAATTTTGAAAATCATACTCTGCCCAAGACTCTCTTCTGAAAAGACTAACATGCTTTCAACTAGATGCACACATTTGGAAAATCGGTGGAATTGATACATTTTTTAAGAGAGAAAAAGAAATTCACCAAAGATTCACCAGGAAGACATGCTCAATTTCTTGCAGAATCTCTAGCTCTCTGAAGACATTCCGAACTTCATCTCTTTCAATGCACTGTTGCTTATTCATGTACTTCATGGCATACATCTTCTCTGTGTCTTTCTTTTGTACAATGCACACCTAGATGTAACACAACAACAAAAAGTTGAATTAATATGTATTTTTGTACTTTTTAATTTAACCATTGTAATCGGTAAACAACAGTGAGATATTGTGATGAGCTCCCCAAAAATCATTTATTTAAGATTTTATTTTATATTATTTTCATATTATCTCCTGCACAAGTTCATTCAGAAAATTACGAAGGAAAAGTCTACTTTTTGTTAAAAACACTTTTTTTTAAAAGCGTCAGCATTTGGTAATGTCATTTTAGCAAAATATCTAAAGACAATGCAGTCAATCAAATGTGTTGAATTTCCTCTCTTATAATAAGTAACCGCTATGTCTGAAGGCTGTTCTGGCTGAGAGGAATATGAGACTTGACATCCAATGCCAGCATGCAGGAGAAAGCTTACACAGGGACTCTCACGGGTAGATTATATAGAAGCCAGCTTGATTCCATTATAATTCTCAGCCAGTGATGAGAAGGTAGGTTTAAGCACTGTAAAGCGGTATATAAGTGCTATTGCTATTAAGACAACAGTTTGTCAGAGGACAGCCTTTCCCGGACTCTTTATATTTTAAATATATGTCCTTCACTTCCCAAAATTTCCTAGCCAGCAGAACAATTGCTGAAAATCATGGAACCCCAAAACCACAAATATGGAGAGAGCCAAGGCTGGCATTAGATTCTTTCACTTTAAATTCACGTATTTACTTGTTCATTGGTTATGTAATTAATTTGCTTCCTCAATCCTAGCAGCACTCTAGGCGGCATGCAGATAATGAAAGTTTAGCAACTGCATAACTGTAATCATTGTCGTTGTCATCATTACCATTATCAGTACAGTTGAGTATGATGACTCCCAACGCTCAAAAAGGCAAATACTGACTGTCACATTTAGACTTTCCAACGTTATAAGGGAAAAACATGAAAAAATCATTTCCCATGCCAAAGGTAATGTCCAAATTATACTTGGAATATAATTTAGTGACAGCAATGAATTCAGTGCTAGCAACCATGAAGCTCTATGAATAATCAAAGTGAGGGTACAGCAAGAAAGAGCCAACAATTTCAGGAAAGATGGTATCAAACACTGTGATTGGGGAATTGGAATCATTCATTCATTCATTCATTCATTCATTCCATCAAATGAATTATGTTTCTGGGCTCAACTCAAAATATTGATCTGCCCTTAAATCCTTAATAATTTGGGACTGGAATATACTAAAGCAGGAGTGTCAAACTCAAGGCAGAGGGGCCGGATCTGACCTGCAGGGTGCTTAGATCTGGCCCACGGTTTCTCTGCCAGAAAAAAATGGAGCTCGGGAAGCCACGTGCCATGGAAGGCAGCCCTTCCAAGCTCCATTTTTGTGGCAGAGGGTTGCAGGAGGCCATCGCAGTAAACATGGAGTTCACGGCCCTGTTTTCACTGACAGAGCACTTGGGCCACCACAGGCGCCCCTGACACAAGTGACGTCAAGCTGGCCACGCCCACCCTGGCTCCCCAAGGCCAAACACAATCCCAATGCATCCCTCAATGAAATTGAGTCCGACACCCCTGTACTAAAGAGCTTCTTGTCTGTAGATACGCTTGTCTATATGACAATTCCTCAGACAGAGACATTTATTTGGGTATCCCTTGATGAGCTACAAGGAAAGTTTTTTCTTCTTGGTGATGGTGTGGGGGGCCATTCCTCAAGACACTTTACTTCTCCATTTTATGCATGCAGTTGATCTATCAAGACAATTATTGTACTACTGGTTCTTGAAAATTTAGAATATAAAGAAGTACTATGTGGATGCCTTTATGACTGTATTGGTATATTTATCTGATAATGTTGGGAACTGGATAGCTGTTGGCAACAGCTGTCAGATCTTGCTGTGTGGTATAGTTTAATGAGGACCACTGAGACGTCTGCCCATGAGCCCTCCACTAACTTATAAGTCCTCCCTGAAGGAAATTTCCAGGAAGATCTTCAGCACAAGTACGATTTCTAGCTAGTTTTATGGAGATCTCTCTGAGATAATAGGAATGTGAAAAGAAAATATGTGATTCAGACTTACAAGGGAAGCAATTTGAAGGCAGTCAGTTTGCAGAATAAGCATGGGCATTATCAATATTTCATTCCATCTACATTGTATACTGCCTTTGAGAGTCTTCCCTGGATAATTTAGAATATGCCCATTAAGAAGAGTTCTCATATCATTCAGGTCTAACATTTTATTTGCAATAGTTATTGTAAGTTTACAATTAAGCTATTCAAAGGTTCACAGCATATGATCCAACAGTTTGCTCAAAGTCATTCCCCAGCAATAACCTCTGAATATACAGGTTTTACATAGCAGTTCAAAAAATTACTACATACAAGTTACTTATATGGGAAATAATAATATAGCATATTTTGTGCTGCATCTGATCTTTTTTCTTTGATTAAATTATGTCATAAAGATCTGGAACCAAGTTTACTCAGGCAAGAAGGACAATTTCTCTCATCTATAATCACATTTATGGGACTTCTGGAAAATTTTATATCAGTCTGAGGTTTTGTTTTCCAAAACAAATAACAACCTCGTTATTTCAGTTACAGTACTTTTATTAAGGAAAGAATAAGTGCTTAAGACACTTAAAAACCATGCTGATGTTTTAAATAAAAAAGATAATTGTATATCAAGCTAGTTCCACAGGGCTTCTTGTTCAGAGAGTTTTAAATGAGCGCACTCCTAAAGTTGTATACCTTGAACTCCTATTCAGAAAAAGAGTGCGCAGAAGGGAACTCAACCACGATCATAGTGTGTAGGATGATACAGCAACACAAGCACACATTTTAACACTGAGATTTATGGGTCTGCTAGTGAGATAAGCTGGGGGAAAAAGAGAAAATCTTAATTATAAATGTTTTCTCTAAAATGAATGATGGAGTTATAGGTTATCTCAAAGTTTGAAAATTAAATGTTTTTATTGCATCCTTCTAAGAAAAACAGGCATGGTATAGTATTCTCCAAGGGTGGAAGAGTATATAGTCATTCTGTTCTCTGCATAACTCATTTCTACAGAACTGTGATGGCGAACCAATGGCACGCCCGCCACGGGTGCCACACGGGGGCCT